TTGTTTATAGTATTGTTTTTGTTTTTGTGGTCATGACAACTTTACCAGGCCTTGACATTACATATTGCCGCACGGGATTGTCGGTTTACATTTGTAAATAAAGGCATATGGACGGCCTAACTGGGCATTGCTGTCAGTTTGTGTGCCCTAGGCACTCAGGTACAAAAAATGGCTTTGGTCTCTACAGCTAATTTCCCCATTCATGACAACTGGTGGGTGTATTTTTATCCAACTCGCCGATAAATAATATCTATATTAGACTTAAAGTTATGCATGATGGAGGTTGAGTGCAGTGGCTCCACCGAAAACATTATATTTCCCACAATTTAAGCTTCTGCATTTTCCAAATGTACTAGTATTATTCAAACGTATTGTTCGGTTTGTAAGTCTCGTACCGAACGGTTTAATATGAATACGTGTATTGTTACACCCTTATTATTAGGAGGTGGTTCACCTGTAGTAGGACAGCACTGAAGGCCCAGGTATAAAATGCACGGCCCGCCACTATCTGACATGACATGACATTCTGGTTCACTGGGTCAGGTCTGTTTTCTGGTAAGGGCAGTTGTCTCGCTATGGGTGCCCCCAACCCACGGGCCACATCGCAACTGCACTGCCTGCACTGTCCATATTTATGCTCCTAAACTAAAAAAGGACAATAATAACAATACAAATAGTTGATTGTTGATAAATGTATTAAATTGAAGCAGTCCCCAAATATTTGACTCAAGGGTAGCTTAACCACGTCAAAAAGATGCTACCAGCATAGGTTTTCACCTAGTCTTGTGCAGTTATAAGAGGCAACGCAATGCAAACTGAAGTGGTTGTTGAAGTGTGATGTCTAAAGGTCTGTGAGTTGATATTTTAGGGTTGAAATTCAAGAAATACCTATCATGTTGTCAGTGAGGAATCTTGCTAGCTTGCAGTTAACAATCTTGGGCAAGACAGAACACAGGAATGGTAGGTACTAAATCTTGATCAGAATCTGACAAATAATATTTCACATTGTACTACTATACCAGTGCATTGATTAAAAAAAGACACCTTCCAAAGTGTTACTTCAGAGAAGACTGCTAGTATACCTTCCTTGTTCTTAGATAACAATACAAATGAGAGTGAGACTCACAGCTGAAGGTAGCTGTTGACAGACTACTCATGCTTCATAAATGAGTCCTGGCATGAGTGTGGGGACCCATCAGGTATTTCTTGATATCAGGCCAACAGCAGTCAAGCCTGTCCTCGCTTGAGCCTCCAGGCCATTGGATAGCATAACAGAAACAGTGCATGCGTTGATGTGTGTGTGTGCGTGTGTGTGTGTATGTGTGTGCGCGTATGTCCTAGCTTAAAGAGAAAACAATAGAAGAGGGAAGAAACACAATGTAGTGGAGATAGTGGAGTGTAGAAAGGAAAGAAAGCTTGTGAAGGGCGGGTTTGTGTGAGAAAGTCAAATCAGGAGAAATTCTGATGGTTGCCAACTCATGCCACACACAACGACCCATGACTCAGTGTCCCAGTGTAACAACATTATGCATGGTTCAACGTCAAAATATAATTATTACGCCAACATACTGAAAATAATGGAATTGCTTACATAAATGATGATTGGAGGCATTGGTGTTTGCAGGAGGGTTCTGACTTTTCCCAACTGTGTGTGTGCCTGAAGATGACATCTGGGTGCCATGTTGATGACCCACAGCTCTTATCCTAGCAATGGCACAACATTGACAAAACAATTGCAATAGCATGACTTTCTGCAAACGGTTAGTAGTTGCAGATGCTTTGAATGATTCCAAAAAAGGTAAAAGAAAAATGGATTCAATCTCATATGTCAAGTGATATTGTTTCTCTCTTTTCATATATTAAAAACACATAAAGGGACAGTCTTTGTATGGCATTACACTTATTTTTCTCATCAGATTGACATGATGTGGAACAAAGTTGTGTATTTGGCTTTCAAAATTGCAAATCATATCACAACCTCAAGGATCTTATTATAAAACATAGTTTCTATATTTTGGCAAAACCTTACACTCATACTGAACTGTGTATTTTTTTACAATGGCTGCTCTTCTTATAATCAGGCCACACAAATGTGTGCTCACAGACCCATTCCGGCAACTTATCTGCCACCACCCCCATCTTGCACAGTTCACATATGACATGAGGTTAAAAAACTCTCTTTTAAGCTTGTTTAGGAGAAGTCCCCGGCCTGTGTGCCCAGCCCCATGGGAGAAAAGTGGCTTTGAGCGCCAGTGGTGAGGATGTGCTGTATCCTCTTCACCAGAACGCACCGGGCAGAGGCCCTATAGTCACAGACAGAGTGTCGCGGAGCGGGAGATGGGAAATCAGGGTTTGGAGTAAAACCACGTCCTCGGAGAACAGGGTGTCAGCAGGGACTGCGGCTCACGTCCTGGGCCACACAGAACCACAAGGCCACCGCAGGGACCTGACTTTCCGCTGGATCACAGGGATCAGGCCCCACTGGCCTCTCTGCAGATATCCAGTTACTAATCTACTGGCCCTGACCAGTACCCAGTCAAATGGTACTGCCTGCCCAGCAGGCAGACTGGGCTTCGCCCTGCGACACACAGTAAATCCGGCCCAGTTGAATGCTCTTGGGAAAAGGGGGAAAAAGGAGGGAGGAAAGGATGGGGGGCAGAGAGAGCAATTTAGAAGGGTGGTCAGGAGACCGAGAGCAGTGTGGTCGAGCGTGGTCACTCAACAGCTTTGCCTTGGGAAGATTCTCTCTTCTGGGAGAATCTGACCCAAACGAACAAAGGCTTTGTGGTCATGTCGAGCGTGTAACTAAAGGACAGGAAACGCAGACTTTTTCAGAGGGAGGAAAAACACTAAAGCCACTCGGTGGGAGGTTTTGGCCGTTTACAGCGCAATCATGTCGTCAAGTATCAGAACGGCACTCATCTCAAAACACACATGACAACTCATGGTTGGTATAATTGCCTCCCTTATATTCAGAAAATTCCGTAACTAGGAAAACTGCAATCTTTCTTTAACTCACATTCACATAATTATGGCTATTATAATTCTGTATGTAGCTCATATTATTATATCTTTCTCTTTTTACTCTTTGGTCAGTGGGGTTATGACAGGGGGGTACACATACAACAGTATTATAAGATTGTATTGTAAAATGACTTCAAGAAAGAAACAAAGGAAAATTGAAATCCTATGTTTCACAATTAGACAATTGACGATTGACAATTGGTTCCCTTAAAACTCTTCCTAACTATAAGACGGATGAGTGAACGTACATGATTGTGAAGACACCTGATGTGATCCACTTTAACACTGATTTGCCTTCAGCTGATCTTGTTTTTATCAGTAAAACAACTCAGTGGGTTCCTCCTGAAGCCCTCTTGAACATTGTCCGTCATCTCACCATGGGGATGTAGTCAAGCATAACATTCATTTATCTTTGCACTGCAGACACACCCTCTCTGTCTGCGTATTTAATGACGGCTGCTTTCAGTCTCCATCACTTGCTTTGACTGTCATAACCTCACCTGTATCTATTTCAATGTCTTAGTTCTTTGTTCTCTGTTTCCTCTCCCTAGCCTGCTTCTACTTGATTGATTCCTTCCAGATACACTTTCTCTCCCTCTCCTCTTCACCCTCCCTCCCTCCCTCCCTCCCTCCTTTTTTCAGAAACAAACTCTTTTCTCTCTTTCCTGCCCTATCTCCCACTGTCAGCGTAATTCCATTGGAGTCAGACCTCCCAGAGGGGCCCAGACACAGGTAGCTACCGCGGTGGGGAAGCTTCTTTGCTGTCGGCTTCCTGACGCCCGACCTGCCCCCCCAGCACACGCTCACACACATGCACACCTTGCCTCAGGGGGGTCAATGTCATTGTTGGCATTGGGTACATGCTCGTCGTGGTGCAATATTAAATCTTCTCATTTGATTTGGACTGTAATTATGTCGTAAAAACAAACTGGCTGTGAAGCCGTAGCCCGCCAGTGTGATCTACTTTCATCAAGTGCAGACTGGCTTAATTATAGAGTGTGCCATACACCCATCTTTCACTGGGCAGCTTTTCCTGCTGCTTCTTTAAGCCATCACATTCTTTTATTGTGCGTTAATCACAAGGCAATTGGACCGTTTGCAATGGCTGGGGGTATATTTTTACTCTGGTCTGTACACATCCTGCGAATTCAAGTCAAGAGTTAAGCAGTTGTACATGGTAATGGGATCTGATGCTTCCTCTATTTCTTCCGTGTACTTAATGATATGGTTTACATACCACAGAGGTATTCAAATGTGAGGAATCTCTGCTGAGAATAAAGGATTTGCTGTTCTTTGTACACCTTAAATTGAGTGTGTGAGGTTAGACAGATAAATGAGTAAATTTGACAATAAATGATCAAATCTCATCAAAGGAAATCACACTGATGTGAACGACTGTAAATACAACTTAGATTGTTTCCCCATGGGATTTTATTTCAATTTCATTATCTTAATAGGGAACCATAAAGCACTTGAAGAAATAACACTGAAGCTCAAAGATCTATGAATTTTATGAGAAAATTATTTCCTTTTTATCTGGGTTTTACATGCAGACATCTGAAATACGTGTTTGTTTTGGCCTGCATGTGCCACATAGTTAAGTCAAACCAGATTCCACCTTCACATCAACTCGCACAGGAGGACGCCAGATGCCAAATTGCAACATATGGCAATATGTACATTCATTTTTTTTGCTGCGTTTCATGCAATATGTTTTAGAGTACTCCAACGATTAAATAATTTGCTCTGTGTATTATGCGTCTCAAACTGATCTCCCGTTTATCTGATTTCAGTTAAATTGTGTATGATTGTAATGAAGTCAGTTACTAGTGATTAGGACTTGTGGCGGATAAATAAAATAAAAACAGTCACTCAGGAAAGACAAAATCAAAAATCTAGAAGTATTTATTTTCTCAGAATAAAAAACAGGCTAGAATTATAATCTTGATGTCAATGCGTACTGGCTAGAAATAAGAGAACACAACAAGGGTTGATGTCAGAGATGAGTGTGTGAGGGAGGGATAAAGGATGGAGCCGTCTGGGGACTGACCCCTTTATGTCTTAATAGTTGAGCTGAAAAAGAGGGGAGACTATGAAAGCTGAAGGGTCACCGTGGGAGAACTCCCTCGTTTTTGTCCCTCTCCATCGGCCTTTCATGATGGGTTGTGACAGGTGTGTGAAGTGGGCACCTTAGCAGAGGTAATTGCCATTTCTCTCCTGTGGGTCATTGTTTGCCCCTTTGCCTGAAAAGAAAAAGAGGATTTTAGTTTGTTACAATTCCAGTGTTAAAGATGAAGACTTCTCCAAAATATTCGGAGTGCATCCATTATCAGTGTAGTGCGCTGTACATAAACACACCCTGCTGATGCTGCTGTTCTTTAGCTGAAACAGGCTGCTGTGGCTTCGCTGCAGAAACCATAATGGTACCACTGAGGAGTCATAAAGGTGATTAAACGATCAATGGAGACTCTTTGAGGTTATTGATTCACCCTTGTTTGAGACACAGCTCAAACCAAACTATAGATCACTGACTGCCCTAAGACAGTTGGATGTGTTCATGAATGTCTTTTTGACTTATTCTTGGTAACATGTTGGAGCATGGCACAACATTTGTGAACACAAGGTCACCATCAGCTGGCTATTTAGCTTTTTTAACATTAGCTTGCTAGTCCCCCATGTTTTCATGCTAACGTTTCACTGGTTACAGAAAATGAGCGGTCAGCATGCTAGTGGTAAGCATCAGTGCTCGGTCCCTGCTGCTAGGAGACTACAGCCACGAGAGGAGTGGACGGCCTCTCTGGAGATAGATGGAGCCGTTAGGGTTTGCGCTGGCTGAATTTGAGTTGCTGTGAGGATCCGTCTCCGAAGCTGGCACCCCTCTCCTCCCAGCAAAGTGGTGTACCAGTGAGGGATCGGGTGCAGTTTTTGTCTCATTAGTGGTCTGATAAACAGTAAATTAAAATCAAATTCAGTGTCACATAGCATATTGCGATTTTCCAACCTACCGTAGTTAGCTGTCATCAGCTTTAGCTGTCATATTTTGTTGGTGCTGCGATGAGGCTTTCGTCATTTGGAAGTGGGCGTGGTTTCATCTCTTAGCCCCTTGATCACTTTTGGGATATTTGTTTAATTTATGCAGGAAAGAAAAAAAGTTCCCAAGTTTTGAAAATATTCTAGTTGCTGCGAAGCACTAAACAGTACCTTGCGCGGGCTTTCCTGACAGTGTAGTCCTAACTGGCGTGGCTGTTAGGAAGTACCTTGTACATCAACTCGTCTGGGCTGGTTTTGTATAGTGGCTGCACAACTAATTACAGACCATAATTAGTGCTTCTAATACTCCGCTCTGCAGGTTGGCTGAGCCTCTTGACAGTCTCAGGTTGTAAAGGGGCGATGGTCTCAACCTCCTGAGTGCTGGGATGGTTGTCCCCCATGTGTGGCATGAGTGACTGGGCCTGGAGAATACTGGCAAGTCAGGAACATGTAGTCATAAGGGTAAGGATACTCAACCAAACGTCCGACCAAGCCTGCTGTTTGAGGTTCGCTGCGAAAGCCGTGCCCACCCACAGCTTGGACACATGGAGGTGGGGGCTGCAAGCCTTGCTCTTTTGTCTCAGATTCATAGTTCCCTTCCTCACAGCTGTTATGCACTTGGGAAAACTCACCTGCCAGGTACTCTGGGAAAAAGGGCCAGGTTGCTAGGACCAAGTGGTTCTGGGGCACTGGAGGTAAACCCCTGAGTGCTCTTGTGGAAGTTCCCTCATTGGAAAAGACATTTTGGAGGAACAGGAAATGCCTAGGAGCAGAAGTTAAAGATGCTCAGTAGAATACAAGGCAAATAATTTATTAGCAAGGTTTCTTAGCTAAACATGCACTACCTACAGCAATTAAGAAATGAAAAGGGTCTGAAAGCTAAAGTGGACCTAATTCCACTCAGTTATCTTTGGGTAGAGGCAGGCTGACGAGAAGTTGAGGGTGTTGGGCCTGCAGAAGAGCTACTAGCATATCTGGAATAATACAGGTACAACAAACAAATCTGAGCTGTAAGAAGCTGCTGCTGGTCCTCTCTGAACACTGGACTCAGGGTAGCTAGGGGCACTTTTAGAGGTAGCCCCAGAACCAGACGCTGCAGGGGCAAATCCACCAGAAGGCACCATCCAGTTAGAGCCAGCAGAAGCATGGCTAGCAGCTAGGTAGTGGGAGATAATTAGGAGAAGCTCTGACACATCTTTTAAAATGTGGACAAAAGGAAACTTTACTTGACTACCAGTCAGCCTACAGGGGGGAAACACTGTTGAAAAGCAGACAAAGCATAAGCACAACTCGGCCTGCTTAACAGAAATCATTCAAAACAGCACAAAGAAATGGTTGCTTACTCTGGAGAGAACCAAAGAGTCACTATGGTGAATGAGCAGCTCAAGTGCTACAATGATCCTGTGGAAGGTTTATAAATGTTGCAGGTGACCTGCACTGACCAATCAGAACAGTTAACGATACACAGCTGGTAGCGAATGAATGCTGATGAAGGTGTGTCCCTCATGCGGAAACTTCAACAGTGAGTGGCCCAATCCCAATCTCCCCCCTCACGGACTCGAGGACTTTGAGGCGCGCTCCCACGAAGTCCGTGAGGGTTCAGGGCTGTCCCACTGTCAAATCATCGAGTGTTTGAGTCTCTCTCAGACATTTTGAGTCCTTTATGAACCCTTAGCCTAAGGGAATTACCCACAAATCATTGCAATGTGACATTAAACACGGGGTAACCAGTGGACGCATGGAGACGTAAAAAAAAAGGTAAACAAAGAGGACGGCTCACGTGTGTTCAGCCTGTCATAATAAATTTACTCAGAAACATTAAGGGTTAAAGATGGAACGAATAAATAAACTTGAAATCAGAAGATATTTATTTATTTATTCATCAAATATTTGATTTTGTCATTGAAGCCGTTTTGACAAAAACTAGTAAATATATTATCTGAAGTTACCTCTCATCTTGTGAGGAAAGAGCCAGGAAGACGTTCAAATCAGGGAGTACAAAGTATAAAATAAATACACACAATTATACATCATATCTTTTGTTGTTTTCATGGTAACGTGATATCTTGCAGCAAAGTGCTGTCCCATTCCTATTTCCACCATCTCAAGCCCTCACAGTCTCTCACACTCACCCACCTACCAGGTGAGGTCAGTAAGTCCTTGAGGGTTTTATTTTTGTACATCTTTCATGTAATTGTTTAGAAGTTCATTTTCAAGTTTTTTACAGAATAAATGACAGCACGTTATTGAAATGTTAAAACATAAGGAAATATGTAATAATCTGGCACAGTGAAGAAGCCAAGATGCCTATTGTGTTGCTCCTCAAGAAGAGTGATCTCAGAAACATTTAACTACAAACAAACATGATGAAATCATGAGTGCAAAATGAAATACAGTTATTTTTCACATAATCATATAAAGCAGAAAACTTTGAACCAACCCATGACCTGAAGAATATATCCTGAAGAGACTGAAATGTAAATGGGTTTGATTGTGGCACATCCCTTCATTAACATCTTACTCCTCTATACCCAGCTTGAGACTGTGCCAAATGTGCCGTGGTTCTGCATTGTGACAATTTCCGGCACTTCAGATGTGTATTTCCTGGCTTTCTAATCAGAATGCTATTTTGAATCTCAAAAGGAGCTCCATTCAGCCCAACATTAACAGCCCTCGTCTGTGATAATGTGGAGGCTTCGGGCCATAGGCCACCAGCTGCATCCACTTGTCAGTCTTTGGTACAGATGCCCTGTCTGTCTGCTGTGGAGAATGAACTCATGGACTAAAAGGCACTTATTGTGCAAAATAATTTTATGTACTTATTTTAATGTGCCTCATCCAATTCCTTAACATGGTTTGATTATATCTGCTCACAGCCATTTCACATTTTAAATGATTTCAATGGAACGCTCCTGTCCCTTTTGTAATTTATGTCTTTGAGTGGCCAGAGGAGTACGAATGTATCAAACCAGAATACTCTCAGGCATTTTATCCAAATCTGCTGGATTTTCTGTGCATCATATTAGTTTCTCATACAAATTAAATGAAGAGAACTCAATTATGATGGATCAATAATTCAGCATTCTCAATTATGCTTTAATTGTAAGAAGCAATATCATCCAATCTTATTGTGTGGATAGGTGTTGTTGCTCTGCAGAGCTTTAGCTGATTGTTTATATGAGATTAGTGCTGTGTATCAAGGAAAAGATCAGGCAATGTCACAGAGCCTCGGATAGCCAGCAAGTGACTTGTGCATAGACATACTCACACACACACACACACACACACACACACACACACACACACACACACTCAGATACTCCCAAATACACACACTCTTAATGACACAAACACGTAACATAAAGCCAAATGCTGCCACTAAAATTTGCATGGTGCTCAGTAATGCATTAGTGAACATCACTTGGCAATCTGTTCATACGGGCTTAATTGGATTTTAATACCGCCTCTGATCTTGTTTTCTAATTAACGGCGGTGGCTGGCAACCAAGCAGAACCATGCACCCAGCAACACCTTTGATCCCGGCCATATGGAGTTCCTCCAAGCACGCAGGGGATGTAAAAATCCCTCACCTAGACGTGGGCGAACAACAGGCCACCGAATCAAAATGGATAGGGTGAGGAAAATGAAGGAGGGTGGAGAATGGAGGAGTGTGACAAGGGGGGGTGGGGGGGGGGGGGGGGGGGGGGGGGGGACAGGTCTTCCGATCTTGACTGAAGACCTGGTGGGGGGGGGGCAGTGGCATGTGTCATCCACACATCCCGGCGGCTTTGTTATTGATTAATTTCTCCTACGATCAGTTGTGATCACAGATACATAAAACATGAGGGGGGACCGTATGCTTGTACACCTTATCATCCTTGCTGCCTTTCCACACCTTTTGCTTGCTACGTGGAAACGTCAATAGCTTTTCTAATCTGTTTACTTCTCCCCTTGTGGCCACTACTTTATATATTTGATGAAGGGCTGCCAAAAATGTGTCCTTTTCTACCCTTGCTTTTCCTGTTTTAGCAGACAGAGTGTGCGTTTTAAACTTTACATCTGCATAGACACCCTGGCTCTCTCGCTGTTTTTTAGTTGTTTAAAAGAATATCACTAAAATACACAGTGCAGTTTTTTAAATTCAGATCATTTAATAAATATAAAGACGGCTTTGGGGCTCATTTCTGTATACTCAGCCAGTTTTTGGAAGCTTGATGTGCATAATGAAATCTACCCTGCAGCCTCAGCACCTTAGGTTTCATGTTAGCCGACATATAGTAAGTGGAAGCATCTGATTAATTCATGTTCATGGTGCAATCAATGCTCAAAAAATCATTTCTGAAAAAAAAGATATATAATAGTATCCAGTATTGTCAAATTAGTGTCAGTATTTTCAAATGTCATTTCAATGAAATATCTTTTAATCTTTAACCTTCCTCCTACCATAGACACTCCTCCAGCACATGTGCAGCATTCAACAGGGTTGTGTTAAAGGAAGGTCTAGGTCTTATTAACACACCTGTATCTTATTAAACCATATTACTTGTTGTCATACTTCACAGGTGCTATATTTATGATTCCAATTATGTTCAATATATTCCAAGTACATAAATGACATTAAAGAAGTAAGGTCAAATAAGTCAACATTGACTTTTGGTTTGTCATGAAGGGCGGTCACCTTGATGAAAGTCAGGTTAGTTGTTGTTTTCGTAGGTATTAGTTTGAACAGAAAATGACAGCACGCTTAAGGGAGTAACCGTATGTACTCGATGCCGGAGAATTTCCTGAGCATCCTACATGAGGTGAAAACAGTGTGCACTATATCTGTAATGTCAAGTCAAGGCAGCTGGACTTGCTGTGTATTCTTAAGGATACTTCAAAGTCAATCCTACAGGCCTAAACTACGGACTGGTGGGGAAGGTCACCTGTATTTAACCTCTATGGGTGGTCAGAACATGACTTTAATGATACACATAAGGCAGTCATCCATGCATGTTGATTTTGAAGTTCAGCAAGCTGCCATTTTACTGCTGTCTGACAGAAAGCAGCTCATTAACTATGCATATCAATTAAAATAAATTGAGCAAATGTGACAAATGTCATATCTACAACAGTCTGATTGACAACGAGATGGATGCTGTTGTGTCACATCTTCCCAATACTGACTGCTACAGTGTTTTGGGAAAGTTTACATCAATCCCTTTATGAAACAATATCATTAGACCAAGAATCACATGATTAAGTGTTGATCATGGCAGCAGCAGCTCATATTAAAGAGTGTTTAAGTCCACACAGACACTCTCATGCTGCTGTTTGGCAAATCACTCCGTCTTTAATTCTTACTTTTGAAGAGAAGCACTCTGACATCATATGGCCTTCTACAACAACAGCAAAGAGGAGGAAAGGCCTTAAAGTCCCCGCTAGTGATTGCACCTGAATAATGATGCCTTTTTACATGCTGGTTGTTTGTCCTTCATGGGGCAATTACTTGAACAATGTGTTTTTACTCTTTTGAAGAGGATTGTGACATAGAGTGCCCTGGCTAATGACTAGAAATGCATCAAAACTAAAGTGGGGTTCCTAATGAAGATGCTTGACAAGGCCTGAAGGCCTTCTCTTTCTTTTACATAGAACTCTTTCTTTTTATAAAAACAGAAATCCTTGCCCTCCTCAAATTGTCCTTCGACCTTAGCATCTCACGAAGTTCCCCATCTTTCTATCAAAGACACTTTCAAGCACATTGAACGCTATGTTTATTTACTTAATTGTGGAGCACTTTCTTTTACAACTTAATGGATGACAGAAATGGTCTTAACTGGGGTTTGAAACAATCACAAGCTAATGACTGACTCAATTCCTGCCACGCTAACACTGTTGTATGCTTGCCATGTCTACATTTTAATCGTAAATAGAAAAGTTAACTGCAAGCACTGTTCGAATCACCGTCTGAAAAGATTAAGCATCAGCTTAGCTTTTGGACGAGGCTGCAGTCTCCAATTATTCACGCTTCAGCATCATATACATTAATGTCTGAACACCTTTTGTATTCAATTCAATTCAATGTATTTTGTAGAGCCCAAAATCACAAATTTGCATCAAAGAGCTTTACAATCTGTACACATACGACATCCTCTCTCCCGGGACCATCACATCAGAAAAGGAAAAACTCCCCAAAAACCCCCTTTAACAGGGAGAAAACAAGGAATGTTGTAAAACCAACATAGGTACATTTTAGGAGACTTTGTGTAAAATACAGACAATTGTTAGATTAAAAATAATACATATTTAAAAATATGTCTCTGATTGTAAATAAAGTTGCTTGAACACATTATTTTGTGAAAACGTATACCTCTCTCATGTCTTACGCGTGTTACAGTCTGTCAGTCCAT